CGGCGGGGGGGGGGAAGCGGCCTCTGGGCTGCGCATGAGGGCAGGGGCGCCGCGAAGTCCTTGAGAGGAGGCGGGCGGAGGTGGGAGGGGAGCGTTACTAATGGCAGGATAAGGTCGACGTTAGCTGTAGCTCCTGCAAGACACATTTCTTTCTTGGCTTTTGTGGAACAAGTTTATAGGAGTAATTCGTATTTGAAGTGGGCAAACAGAACATGTAACTGCTTTCATATTTAAGCTTTTTAAAATTATTATTAGGTTTTACCTGCATCGTGCATAAGGCAAGTGAGGGGCTACTATGTAGACTGGAGGATGCTGCGGGACGTCAAGAGGAGGAAGCTGGCGTACGAGTACGCGGACGAGCGACTGCGTATCAACGCCATCCGGAAAAACACCATCCTGCCCAAAGAGCTGCAGGTAGGAGAAGCTGCCCGGGCCTGGCTGGCAGTGTGCTCCATGGCTGGCACCACCCTCACTGGCCTGGGCTGATAAAAACGTTTATACATGGAAAAAAAAAAAGTCTGATTTAGAATATATACTTATCATCACCTTTATAGTTTCCTAGACAAATCAAGTATTTCTCCTCCCCCTATTCACTTAAAAACCTGGAAGCCTGATTCTGCCAAAACTAGTTACTAGCTGTCAAATACTTTTTCTAAATTTCTTTAATTTTACTTCTTGCATGAGTTGCAGGCATGTAAAAGCTGTATTAGGTAGGTCATGGCTTAAATGTACACACATTCATTGTCCTGTTCGTGGCCTTTCTTAGGAGTAGTTGCAGGTATCAGGAATATACTTTAACATTTCTGAATGTGTTAGCACTGACCACGCTTAGTTGTGGAGAGATGCCTTCATCCATAAACAGCCTGAGAGAAAGAGCATGAATCTGCTTTTCTGTCCTGATTTTACAAAACTCTTGATAAACAATTTGTTGCATGTTCTTATGGGAAAAAAAAGGAATCGCCACACATTTTCTCTGAAAGCACATTCTGCTTTCTTTATAAAAATTAATCAATTCTGTAGGTCAAAAAAAAAAAACCCTGCAGGTATGTGGCTGTACTAAATAGACTGTGTATGTGTGTATATATATACACACACACATACACACCCATGTACACAATATATACAGAAGATATTTAGCAGTACAAAAGTAATTGAAATAAGACTTTTAGATAAGTAGTCCTACTCACTTTGTTGAAGTTGAAAGGCATGTGGGTGACTGTCTTGAGCTGGTATTCTTTAAAAGTGAGAATCCCTTTCAAATATATTATGGCTTTCAGCATTTTGGTTTAAAGTGTGTTGGAAGTCTGTTCAGCAGTTCTCATGCAGCATAATGGAAGCTTGTGTAACCCAGCATCAGATCTTTCTTCTACCTCCAGTTATCCTTCTGTGACTTCCTCATGTGACTGAACCCAGGATCTTTTGAGCCCTTCCATTACTATTAAGGCTACAGCCATTCAGGACTCTTACCTAAACTCAAGTGTCTCTCTTTAGTATGCATTTTCTTTGGTCTTGTTGAGCTGAAATTCCCATTGTTGCTAAGTGGTGTTTCCTGAAAACATGTACATAGATTATTATTAAGCCTTAAGAATGCTAGAACTCTACTCGTTCTTCTTTAGTTTTTGTTGTTGTTGTTGTTGTTTGTTATTATTAAGCCTTAAGAAGGCTAGAACTCTACTCGTTCTTCTTTAATTTTTTGTTGTTGTTGTTTTGTTTTGTTTTCTTGTTCTCCTCTCCTTACAGCTCCTTCCAAAGTGAGCTACATAAAATCGTTTTTGTTGGCATCAAAACGTGCATTACTGGGCAAGTCAGTTAATAGTTTAGCTCATTTTAAAGAACTAACCCACCCTGGAAACAGACAAAGCCAAACGGATTTGAATTAACAGTCAATGCTCAATGCATAGTAAGGTCAACTTTTCAGTTTACCAAGCAGATAATTTTGCACTGTTAGCATGCCCAAAAAGAATCAAGTGAGGAAGACATGAACACATTCCTTACCAAATAGTGAAGTGTAATCAATTAAAAAGGAGCTTGTGGTCATACCTGTTTACAACTAACTTTTGAGGTCTGGAAATATCTTCACCCCGCATCTCTCAAAATGCTGGACAACATCCTTCAAACTCTATGCTGTGATCTTGTTTTAGGAAGTGGCTGATAAAGAGATTGCTGCCTTGCCTCGGGACAGCTGCCCTGTGAGGATCCGGAATCGTTGTGTCCTGACATCCCGGCCCCGAGGGGTGAAGCGGCGGTGGAGGCTCAGCAGAATTGTTTTCCGTCACTTTGCTGACCATGGTCAGATGTCTGGTGTACAGAGAGCTATGTGGTAGATCACTGCACAGGCCCATGTTCAGCCAGAGGACACCAACGGGCCCAGTTTGTGTTCAAGTAATGAAAGCAAGGCCATCCTGTCTAGGAGTCCAGCATAAGTATCAAACTAATGTGGAGAGGAAGAGAAGCTGTACTCATTTGTAAAATTCATTTACTGGGTTGACTGGTAACAGCTGAGTGATGGGTGGGGGGGGGAAAAAAGCATAACTGCACTAAGCAAGTCTGTGTTAGAGGCAGGTTTATTTTAAGACAATTACTACCTGATTGTTGCAGAACTATGCTGAGGATTGTAAGAAGGACAACATTAAAAAGATATATAGCACAAGGCTCATTCAAGCAGTTTGTTTGGCACAACACAGCAGGTTCACCATGGTGACTTGGATAAAAGCTTAAAAGAACTGCAAAGAAAGAAGGATGAGAATGAACTCCAAATGAGATACACCCTCAAGTTTAGATACTTTTGCAATGCAAACTTATTAACACGTGGATAAAGAACCTCTTGGTGTGCTAATATTTCTTCTCCTGCTTGTAGCACATACCTTGGTCCATGGCTGTAGAAATAAGATAATAAAACAAGTCCTAGTCCAGGCCACAATAGGAAAGTAATAGGAGAGCAAGGAGGCTTGCTTAATTCAGTAACTACACCATCAAGAGAAGTGATAGGAAGCAGGGAGGAAGAAGAAAAAAGAAAGCCTGCTGCCTAACTGTACATTTGCCCTCTATTCTTCCTCAGTGCAGGGTACTGGAGGGTAAACAGCTACTCTGTCCCCATGAGAAGGGTTCAGAAGCAATAAACAGGCCAAGTAAAGCCTCAAATGGAAGATGCAGAGGCAGCAGTTTGACAGTAGCCACCTCCCCAGGTTAGTCCAATTGTTGAATATAAATTACTTCAGCATACATCTTAGTTATTACGTTAAAGCCCATTAAAGTTAGACAGGAGATAATGGAGGTTGTCTCCCTTATATACTGGCTAGATCCAGGGACAAGTCTATCCTGTATCAGCAGCTCTGTGCTCTCCTGTGACTGCCCCACCTTGAAGACACCACACACAGATCACAATTAGCATAGGGGCTAAAGAGTTGTTTTCACTTTCAAAAGTCATAAAGGGGTTAAACAGACAGTACTTTTGAAGAATAGTTTTGGAGAGTAATGAGGTTTAATATCACAGCATAAAGACCATAATATTTCAGCTCAGCTGTCGAGTGCCCTGTCCTGGCATGGCAGTTCTGATTCTTCAGCATTTCTCCCCTTGTTACATATCTTACAGTTCAACATGCTATCCCACATGGAATACGACACACACTTGTGTAGACCCTTTAACCTTAGGTGGGTACAGCTGTCATCTGCAACAAAGTGACCTCGACCCATCTTGGTTTAGGATTCCTTTTCTTTTACATTCTGTTTCACAAAAGTCTTCACTTTGTTGTTGTTGTTGTTGTTTTGAAGGAGGGGTAAGGATATACCTATGCTCCACTCTTCAGGAAATGGGGAACCATTTGACTGTAGCGAATGCTTTATAAGCTATTTTATTTAAATATTTTCTCCAACCTGAAATGGAAAATGAGTGTCTTTGCTTGGAAGAAGGTTGTGTAAACAATGATTTTTGCAGAACAGGAAGTCTCACATGGAAGATCAGTATTAAGGCGGCCCTCAGTACTTTCAAAGATCCATTGGTAGGTCCCCTTTGGACTGTTTTTCTCTGCTTTCAACCCAAGCCTTGTTGATGGTGCGCTTCATTTCATCGTCCCCTTCTGCATACATCTTTTTCAAAAGGCTCATAAGCCCTTCACTGGGATCTGAGGTGTCATAGGCAGCTTTCCTGCAAGACAGGTGCACATGAAAGGCCTCGCATATCTCACCACTCTGCACAAAAATATAAACACTAGTATTTGTTACAACTATGTGGTAACAGTAGGAATTTTGCTTTGGCAAAGTCTTGAGTCTATGGAAGTCTTTAGTAACACCTCATGGCTTCTAAGTAGGGGGAGCACCTAAGGGGGACGTTTAGCATCAATGTAAGTTTATGAAAAGTAATCTATTTACAACTTTCTCATCAAGGATGATGGGAAGCATTTTGCAACAAACATGACCCTTGGAACACTACTGAAAATTAATTTTGGGAAGCAGATGCTGAATATAACAAATCTGGAAACTGCTAACATCTGTCTTTGCAGTTACGTGACGTTTAAAAGAAGCAGAAAAATGACCACACTGAGCCACCTAAAGTGACCACATCAGAATATTTGCAATCTAAAAAGCATTTTCTGTTTCATGATCTTGAGGTCATCTCCAGATGTCAAAGCACTGATTTTAATAGCTATTCTTCAAAATAATTTTCTCAACATATGAGGGCAACTGACAAACGCTGGCACCCACATTAATACACGCATCCTAAGCATCTGAGTAAAACATGTCCCACATTACCAGATGACTGAATATTGTCATTTCTGTCAAAATTTTTAGGACATTTTCTTCCTCTTAGGATTTTCTAAGTTCTCCTTGGTGCTAGAGTAGCTACTGGAGTACTGAAGGGTATCTGAAAAGCAGCATGAAGATTTAAATAGATCAGCAGAGGGAGCAAGTTCCCCCTGCACAGGGCTAACAGTCAGTCTCCAAGAGCTGAACATGCAGAATTTGGAAGACATTTTCTCAAGTGCCATACATACAACACTGAATAAGGATGCAATACTGATTATGAATGGGCTAGCCACTGTAGGCTCTTCTTTACACAAGATAAAGGCTTAACCTAGAAACTCCATCCCTCTAGCAACATGCACTCGTAGCCAAGTCACTTTGATCTCCAAAGATACAGTTTGAGAGGGGAGGGTAGTTTTGCTCTGGATTCAGCTCTGGTTGTTAGAATTGACCAGTTTTAGCAAATCATCCTACAAGCACATGCTAAATAATCATTGTAGGGTGCTTCAGAGATTTGCAGGACAGAATCACGGGAAGGTGAATGCTTCTTGGATGCACACATGCTCTTCTGGATGCAGACCCCTCACAGCAGGGAACAGAGAAAACCCCTCACGACATTTACCATCCTTTCATATCTGGTCTCTACACTGCTTGCATGATTGCTGCCCAGCACTTTAAGCACACTGATCTAAATAGGCTTGATATTTTATACAATGATTCAAAATAACCAAAGGCTTATTTTTGCCAAAAGGATGATGGGACTTCTCTGCAAATCCTTTACATGCAGATGCAACAAACCAGTAATTATTTCAACCACCGTAACCCTGGGAAAAATGTATATATTTTTATAGAAAGTAGGTACGCATACACTTAGCCTAAGAAAAGTAAAGCCTGTTAGAGCAGTACCTGCAAGGAATGCAGCTGCCAAAATATAAATGATTCCTTAATTGGTTAAATACTTTTATCACTCTGTGCAGGATCCTATCAGCCTTATTTTCTACAATGCAGCTTTTGTTAGCAATAAAACAGTAGAAGTGGCAAACTTTGTAGCTTGGACCATATTTTTTTGCATTGCCAGTGACATCAGTACCAAAAGAATCCCAACCTAACAATTCTCAAATATCCTAAAGGCTCCAAAATGAGCAATTCTTGCAGTTAAATTGCATAATCAATACAGCCTATATCTACTCTCTTCATCATTCTTATATTATTTCAGTAGAAGCAGAAAAGGAAGGTTAAGCGAGGAAAGACACTTACTCTTTCTCTTTGCTTTCTTTTTCCACTTGCGTGAGACAGTCCCATTTTTCCTCACGCTTCTTCCTACACATCACGAGGATCGTGTCTGTCTTGATCTGCATGTAGAACACAAAGACATGAATACAGAATACTCCAAAAGAGGATGCTATAACCACAATGAATGAGATTAGCCATTTATATAAATCTCCTACCCTCAACTCCTTGACACATTTATCTCAGCTATGTAGAGCTTATGTAGAAGTTAATATGTACAGCTATAGGGTACCAAGCACTAACCTCACTGTGGTGGCACAATTATGTCTAATACTAATATATGCTAAAACAGCAGAACACCCAGCACTGCAGAAATAGACTGACCATTCAGGAACTCTTATAGGATGCTAAAGCCAGCTATGACTGCTTCTAAACTGTGGGTATATTTACCTTTCAAAAGAACTGGAAAATGATCATTTTAAGGCCCAATAAAAAGTGCATTAAAAAGACAGAAACTTCATACGCCAGTAGAAATCTGGAGATGTAAGACAGGTATGCACTTTAGATTGTCATGCAAAGTGAAGTCCTGCCACCTTCACTTCTGCTGTTTGGAAAAGTCTACAAGGTCAGTAAAGGCACCCACTAAGTTCAAGTACAGACCCCTCCCAATTTATTTCTCTAGGGATAAGAAACTAGTTTTGGAACAGTGCTTAACCTTTGCCTGTAATTTGCAAGCACATCGCAAAGCCTGTTGAACTGACTGCAACCCTGCCACCCTGACCTGAATTCTCCTATAGACCATAGCAGCCAAGATTCTGCTGGAGCTTCAGCATAATTGAGTAAGTACATGGCTACTGTTTGCTTTCATATTCTGCTAAAAGCTACCAGAGCATTGCCTTTATTACCTTGCCTGTTTTATTTACACTGTCCTACTTTAAGGCTCAGCAGAATTTGGAATAGAACCACTGTTTCTATACATTCTATGCCACAAAGTACAAGTGGCAAATATTTACAACTGCACAAGATATCTGACATGTCTGTCCCTAGACACAGAAAGGTGCTAGAAGCAGTACAGTAATACATTATTATAAGCTGCAACCACCAGCAATAAAAGTGTTCCTGGTATTTAATGATGGAGCAACATACTGTAGTGAAGACAGAGGACGTTTTAGACCACAGACAAGGTATGGCATCACAGATATTTACACCACCCCGAATTTACAACTGTGGTCAAGTCTGTAGTTCTTGTAGTTGCAAAGATTTCTTTGAAGATGCTTAAACTCACCTTTCTCGAACTGCCTTCCATCGAGATGGGTTTCAGAAGGTTGTTGAAGGTCATGGTGTAGTTCTTCCCATTCAGATTCTTCACTAGCAGATCAAATGACCTGGAACAAGAAAGTGAGGGGAGGAAAAGCACAAACAAAAGTTCCAAGCAGTGTAAGACTATTCAGCCCTGTCATCAAATACAGTGTCTGAAAACCATTAAGCAGACATATTTCTTGGGAAAGGAAGCCAATAGCCTTTCAAATCTTCAATAAGATTTAATACTGTGCATTTAAAATGACACATCCAGGGTTCACAATAAATCAAGATCTTCAGTGCTCTAACATCTACTTTACAGAGCTCTTAAAACCTTGGAAAGGATGAGGATTCAATTCATGAAATTTCAGTTCTATCACCATCAAAAATAGGTCTGACATTACATATGCATCAAGCATGGTGAGGCATATTAAAATGCTCTGACACCCACTAATAAGAACTATTCCTAAATATGTGCTAAAATACTCTTAAAAGTTAGTACTTTTAATTTGTAAATAACTAATGACTAATACTTTCACTAAAGTTAAGGCTTAAAAAAAAAAAAGAGAGAGAGAGAACAAAACTGAATACAACACACTCCTGCGTTGTTATACACCCACAATCTCCCTCCTGGCTTAGTGAAGAAACACAAACTCACCTCTCTGTGAAATTCACCTGCACGTTCTCAGCTGGGAGCTTCTGGACTCCATTTAAAGAGATGTAAATTTTAATAAACTTATCTGACTGATCCCAACCTGCAAGTGAGAAAGAGCCTGAGTTCTAGTTTTCCTCAAAAAACTTCATCCATTCCATTCAAACAAACAAACAAACATTCCCTAGCAATGATGATAACCATAAACTGTGTCTTACTGAGACCATCTTTGGACGAATAACATTAATTCATTACTTTTTCTTAACAAAGTTCTTCTTCTCTTTAATAATTGATGACAGGATGTCGTCCTAGTATGTAACTCTGTTCTAATTCCTGGAAGGCCTGAGGAAACCAAAAGCCATATACGAGCTCAGGAAAACGACAGCAGCTCCATCTGAGCTGAGGGAGCTAGAAGTGCCTGTTTTTTTCTGCTTTTCCCTTAGCCCACTTTTTCTTAAGCTCCCCACATGACAAGTACCTTGAGCAATTCCTTCTCCTTTTACCTACATGGCGAGCAGAGAAGCCAAAACTCAGTCTTACACTCTTGCTAAACACTGGCAATGGAAAAATACTAGTATGGACACGAAACAATGTGTCTCCTTGTTAAAGAAAGGCTATTACACAAACAGAATTAACACACAGTGGGTTGGGACAGCAAGCAGGTAATAGCTTTTTGGTGGGGTCTGCAGTATGGTACAAACATTTGAAAATTCTTCTTTATAACACTAAGACTCAAATTAATACCACCCTGCATTCTATTCAAAGCAGAAAACTGGCCTCCATTATTTGCATAGAAAAGCAATCTTACCATAGTTGTTTATTTTCACTGTATATCCTCCAAGCGATGATTTTTCTTCTTCTCCTGCATCTGCCTTCAGCTTTGGTGGAGGCTGATTCTTGATTTCTAACTCTAGCTTGTGTTTTTCAGTCGTGAGGACATCGTGAAGTCGCTTTCTGGTGGCTTTCGTAAGCAATTCTTTAACCTCTTCCAAATCTTTCTGTAACTGATTTAAGAATAAAAGATCATACAGAAATTAAATTATACACAGCTCTTTTTACTCAGGTTCACAGTGCAAGGCTCCTTCACTTCTTCCAGTTTTGGATTCAGACTCAGAAAGTCAAGTTACACATTCCTCTACACTCTCTTTAACATGAAGCCATCCATCTGTCCTTTACTCCAGGGCCGCTAAGGTTTGAACTTCTCTGTTTCCGTCATTGAACTTTGATCAGTTAAAGAAAGAAACAGGTAGAAGTTTAACATTTGGAGCACAGTGTCAAAAATAACGTTAACAACCACTTTAAAAAACATACTGTATAATCACAACAAAAGCAACCAACAGAACTCGGCAATAACTCAGGCTGAAGACTCAAAAAAAAAAAGGTCAAATGTAGGTAAAGGTCTCCTACGCCCCCAATTACACACTATCTATCACTTGCAACCGTTACATCCATCAGCTGTCTAAAGCAAATGCAACATCTCCTCATACGTTATTGAACTACTTTCACCCTCATATTAAGACTCCTTGATCTAAGCCCTAGCAGACATAAACCAAAATACTCCAAACTACTCAAGACATAAACCAGAAGAGGTGATAAGAGGCTGACAAGAGGCTATGCCCCCTTTTAAGACATTTATTATAGAACTGGGCTATTGGGGTGGTTTAGAAACCAGATATCGGCTAGCTCCAGAGGCTGAGGCCACCAAACCCACTGCTGGCTCCACAGCAAATGCTGTCCCAGCACCAGTCCGGCCACGGCGCTACATTTCCTTTGGCTGGCCCTTTCTAGCCCCATCCCCATCGCGCTCTAGGCCTAAGCCTGAGCCTCCCACGGCCTAGTGCCGGCTTCAAGGCAAATGCCCCACACCCAGCCTGGTCACAGCGCCCCATTTCCTCCCGCGCGCCCCTTCAGCGCTCACCTCCTCGCGCACGGCGGCCATGACCCCGCGGCACGTCTCGAACCTTCTCCGCTTCTCGCCGCGCCGCCCGCCCGCCCCCGCGCGCCTCACGCGCCTTCCTCTTCCGGCACCGCACAGGGGTCGGCGGGCGTGGCTGTGGGAGCGTGCGTCACGCGGGGCGGGGCTGAGGCGGCCGTTAGGCGGCCGTTAACGGTCGCGAGCGGCCGTGAAGGGGCGCGCTGTCCTAAGTGAGGTGCGGGCTTGGCTCAGCGCGGCCACGGCTTGTGCTGGCCGCTGAATTCTGCCTCAGGATGGCGCTGAGCAGCCTGGAGGCAGCGGTGCTTCGTGTGCCTCTGCGAACTGGGCGCGCGTGGGCTACGCGGCTGGACAGAGCTCTCCACATGAAGCTGCACTAGCATCTGAATGCTGCATTTGCCCTGGTTGGAAAGAAAAGTAAGCCTGAAAACGCTCAGTTTTCTGTGCACTTTTTAACAAGTCGTCAAGCGCAGCCCCTCTCGCAAGTGAGAATCACAGTAGTCCCTCAGGCAGGAAGGGGAAAAAACAGCTAGAACGGGACCGGGAATTTTCCAACTCAGCTGAAAGTGCCCAGTCTAGTCTCTGGATGACAGGAAATCACGCAGTACATTGTTTTTCGGTGGCTATCAGCTCCAGAGACAGATAAGAAGATTCAGAATGACTTGGAAAGAAAGAGGACCCATCAGCTGGCCTTTTGCAGCCTGCCCTGCTGCTTGTAGGCGCTGACCAAAACTAAGGGCAAACAGTCTTTAAATAGTGATTCGGAAGTGATTCCACAGCCATGTCTTATCTGGTGTGATTAGTTACGAATATTCATCTTCAGCTTTTCTACACTTACGCCTTGATAACACCAGTTGCTGTGTGTTTTTTCCAGTTACACAGCAGCACTGGCTGTTCATATAAATAAAGAAAAAAATATATGTCTGTTATATATATATGTATATATACACACACACACACACATATAGCAACTAGATCAATTGTTAACATGGAAAAATCGCTTTATGAAGCATTTTTTTTTAATTTTAATTAGAAGTAAATTTGTAAGGAAGCTAAGTTTCATGAATATTTTATCTTTTATTCTCTCATTTTCTTGCCTGGCCCTAATTCTCCATTACAGATTTGGTTTCTGTTTCCTGCTGGTACTTCCTGCTCCCTGATCCTTCTCTTTTAGACATATCATGGCTTGCTTGCTTGTTTCTCAGCTCTTATTTCCTCATCTTTTATATCAAAAGCCTTAAGGAAGAGCATATTGATCCATATGTTCCCTATGTTGTAATCCTCAGACTAACATTAGGAAAAGAGGACCCACATGACTTATTAGCTGTCCAATATAACGTCTGTCAGATTCTCATAGAACACGTTTGAAATTAGCTGTGTAGCGCTCAGGCAGTTTGGATGCCTAGGCTGCTAAATCACTGTGTTTTACTACAGTAGTGCTGCTTGAAAATCACCAACTTGAGTAAACTATGTCTGAAGACCTGGTACAGTAGTTATTTCTTAGAACAGACACATTTAAACTGTTTTTAAGCAAGTAGGTTATGAAAAGAAGCACCTTATTCCCGTTCTGTTTGCATTTCCATTTATTTTACAAGGCATCATTCACACAATGATAACAAGGTACTGATCCAAACAAGTCCGTAACATTTAAAAAAGTAAACATTTGTTGTGACCATGTACATTAAATTGCACTTTTAATAACAAGCATTACACTTATATGTCCATATTATACTTTATATAATGCATGGATTTTTTTTTTCACAAGAACTGGCAGTACTGGATTGTTCTCAGTTAAAGGGCTCGTGCCACAAAGCTTCTCTCTTTGCCTAACCCATTATGCAAAGTGCATCTTTTTGAACTAGGGGCATGCCCAGAAACAAACTTTGCCTGAATAACTTAAAACCTGGAAAATGTCCCTGTGCATCACAGCTTTGAAGCTGCTTTTTTCTTCAGTGTTAGGAAATGCATCAACCTTGAATTACTGAAAGGGCAGGATCTGACTCCAAACTATATCCACTTAGATCCCTTTCTGCTGTCACTCTCTTTTCGCTGTTTGAACAAGTCATAAAGAATCTTCTTTATGTGGAACAACACGTTCCAAGAGAACTCCTGGTAGAGCTTCTGAAGTGGTAGCCCTGGGAATTGCTAGAAGGAGGGAATGGGCATCAGGAGGAAAATCTGAGAACATCTGCTCTTGTTTTTATTGGTAGTAGCATCCATGTATTATATAAAATACAAAAATAAGAGAAACTGAAAGGAAATTAGTACAGCCCAGGATTTTTATGGTATCAAATCACAAATGAAATTTACGATACCAAATCCTTTTGATGTATTTATCTCCTTGTTATTCAGTTTCCTATATATTATTCTATATATAAGATATAGTTTTCCAAAGATACATATATATTCCTTTACAGGTTAAATAAAAGCAAGTCCCACTGAATAGGAAAATAAGAGAAAGTAATGTTCTAACTTTCTACCTTTTCTTTTTAAGGTAAAAATAGCATGAAATACATTCAACAGCAAAGCAGTAGAAATGCAGAAGAAATGGAGAGCCCTGTATTCCTGGAGGAAAAATCTGTAGGTGTTAAGTCATGATTCTGAAATAAATTAATTAGACTTCTGAGTTGGGAAATATATGCTCTTGGTCAATGCTGAGAATTAATGATCCAGGTCCAAATTATTTGAATTTCTCTCTAAATGCCATCTGTGAATTAGCTCAGTTTTGAAGGGTGTTCTGATGTATATCTGTTCTAACTTAAAGTCCAAAAATCAGTGCTTCATTGTGTCTCCCTTTAGTGTTATTTGGCAGGAGGTAATGGGACAGCTCCCAGTAGGATATTAGCATAACAGACAGTAAAATAATTTAGTTCAAGCCTTTGTGTTTGCCAGAACGAAGCGATGTCTGGTTTTGTGTGTACTCACAACCCTGGATATACAGTGTTACCCATCTTGCAAAGCCCATCGCTTGTACAGCAGCCCATGCTGTACAGCAGCCCAGTGCTAAAAGATGGTAGCTGGTCAACCAGGAAAACAGTCATTTTGCCGTCACATACAAACCTCTGCCCTGACCTTCACATTCTGAAAATGACTTGCAATACATTTTTTTCTCTAACAGTTCAGAAAAAGTATTGTATAAGAAAGTTTCTGTTTGCAATGTTAAAGATTTTTAGAGTTACTAGATTATGCATAAGTGTGCCAAATATCCCTGAGTCTAACAGCTTTATAAGTAAGAGGTATACTTCTCCCATATATATGAGTAGTTTCACGTATTTCCATGCAACTACTTATAATAAGGAAGGGAACTTGGCCATACCAGTTTCTTGTGGTGAACTGTGGAAATGCATGACTTTCTTATCTAGTTTGTAAGTCTTGATAGTTTCAATAAAGTTTTGTTATTACTTACTCCTATCATAATTGCCCCATTTAGGGATTGAGTGACACCCTGAAGTCAATGGGACACCTTATGCTTTGTCAAGGCATCTGAATTTTTGCTGTGCTTAACTTTCTAAAGAAAGAAGAAAATTACCAGGGTGGTTGTTTCTTTTTTGTCATATCCTCTCCCTTTGTAAACAGTTGGTTTTACTTTGTTTTGAACTCAAAAACCTTATAAGAAATTTCAAGGGCCAACCAGAAAGACCTTTCAGACTTCTAGCAGGAGGGAGAAAAAAACAAAACAACCTGCTCACCCAATACGTTAATTTAGCAGTGTCAAAATAGAGAATAAACTAATTCATGGGCAGGGCAAGGATATGTTTGTCAGCTGGCAGTACCGATTACATGGCTGACCACCTTTCCAGATACTGGTTTCACTAACTATTAATGTACGTGAGCCTCAGGGAAGTTACAGTTTCTTGGATTAAAGCCAGGCAGTGATATTTTTTATCAGTTTTGATTCTGTCTGAATCAATCTATAATTTGTTAAGTAAGCAATATTACTTTGGAGTACCATGTTTAAATCATCAAGACTATACAAAACTAGTTCATAGATCTGTTGTGAAACTAAATCTGCCTTGCTTTATTTATCCTGTAAAGTGTTACAGTCAAAGTTAAAACGACTTCTGAAAGTGGGGAAAAAAGATTCTTTCTCTACTGGGCATCTCAGGAACAGATTAGAATCCAACCAAATCAACAGCTGTACCAAAAATATTCTTTGGAAGTTTGTACCTAATTAAAGGTCTTACTTCAAAAGTGGGGATTCTCAAAAAAAAGTAAAAAACAATATTTAAGAATTATATTACTATAAACTAATATATACATTATTTATATATTAGTTTATATATATATGAGTACTTTTTGCATAAATTTGATGTGGACACTTAGTTGGATAATGACTCAGATAAAAAAAAAATTCAGACTTGAGAGCTATGTTAGTTACCCCAGTGCCACAAGAACATAGTAGTTTCAGTTTGACTTTGATTTAATGAAGCTTTCTACTGAAAAATCTAAACAAACAGAGTCTGCTATCCCAGACAGATCAGTCACTCTGGGATCTATGTATTTCCTGAAGGTACTTAGGGCTACCATCCACAACTGAAAGGGTTAATTAAAAACCAAAAAATTATCTCATAAGAAACAGCTTAGTGTCATAATAGTATGTACCATCAACAGGAAGAATTTTAGGTAGAACCTGTAGGTTGCCTGTTTTAATCCTGTGGTCTTGATACCTTCTGAACTATTCTTATTTGACTATTCTTATTCAACTAGAAAACTACTTTAGAAATGCCATAAATTTATTTTGTGTATTCTTTTAGTAATTTTCTGACAACTCCATTTTCAAACACAAATACTCATTTTATAAATGCCTCTGATACAAACACTACCTGGCAACTCCATATGAAAGATGAAATTTATTTACTGCCTTTGCTACTGCCAAGAGAGCTAATTCAGCCATTTCCTTCTGAAGCTTGTTTCGCAGATGTGTGAGGCACAAGGAAAGCTAGCTCCCAGTCCTACCCGTGTTCGCACTCATCATGGCTGGCAGGTAGCAAATATGTTTTTGTCACAGAAATTTCTAAAGCCAGAGCTGCTATTAAGAAAGAAGATGTCATGTCAAAACTACGACTCCATGAAACCTGGTGAGCTTAATTAAAAGCTCTTTTTTGATGAACTGGAAAAGTCCTGTTACATTTTCCCCTCATTCTCTTGGCATGCAGTAGGCCTTTTTGCTGAGCTAACTCAGTAATTTGGCAAAAAGCTTGTTAGCCAAATAAAAAAAATCCACATTTTTTAAAACCATCTCCAGTATGGGCCAAAACAAAGGATGAGCAGGACTGTACAACAGGTAGTGGAAGTAAGATCTTTCAGCCAGCAGTGAGTTGTTTCCTCAGCTCAGCTGCTCAGTGAATCGTAGTATTAATCATCACTTATTACTGGATTTTTCAATCAAGGTCTTAAATCCACTTCTGAGTACAACTTGAATGAATTGAGAAATCTGTACACTTGCCAAACCATCAGTGTCACTCATCAACATAGTGCTCTCAAATATAACAATCAAAGGTTGACCAGGAATTCTTAAACATCACTTCCACTTTATTACATACTTTATTTCAGGAGTGAAATGGTCCTGATAAGTGAAATAATAATGCAAGGGTTAGACAATCCACATAATGGAAACATTTACACAAATATTATTAGCAAGAAATTGACTTGGGAAAGAAAAAGATCTTTGTTCTACTTGCAAACCTAAATCTTTCTGCTTTTTCCACATAATCACTGTTCTTCCAAGCAAGTTTATAAAGACTAAGAATTTTAACTCCTTGCTTTTAGAAGACAGAGTCTGCATTGTCAAGTTGCAGGATAGTTGTGTTAGAATAGTAGTTATATTTTGATCTCTACTTCAAACAGCTGACTGCCTTTCAGGATGATCCATTTGGCACATGTAAACATTAAATTTGTACTACCCTGTTAAAAATAATTCATAATTATGCTTGACAATAAAGCACAAAATGCGTATCATTAAATTTTATTGTACAAAAATGACAAGATATAGCATTCCTTAGAATAAAAAACAAACAAACAAACAAAAACCCAAAAAAACAGAACTAATGTCCTGTCCCTGGAGCAATTTTGTAAATGGAAAAATTAATGCACAAAGTTTTGTTCATCAGTAATATTTACCTGCAAGACCTTTTTATAGATGTGTTGAGTATAATTAAAAAAATATTTCCATCAGTTCAAGCAATAGTTTAATTTGCCATGAAATAAGTATTTCTATAAACACTAAGTCAAGTCAAAACAAATGCCTTTGAATTTTCTTGCTTTAGAGATACAAAACAACCAAACAGATTTGGGAATCAGAGAATTTTCCCATGGGAAAAATTTAGCTGTTCCACTTGAAAATTTTTGTATTTATAAAAATAAGTAACACATCAAGTTAGCATTTCCTAACCAAACACTTAAAGAAAACAGACCTTGTTTCTGTCATGTTTTATTCACCACTGCAGGAAAAAAAAATCTCATTTCTGTGTCAAACTGACGACTTGAATATAGATGCAGGGAAACTTTGTTGTTAATTTTATACATAAAACCTGCCTTTTATTGCACAGGATTCACACACACACAAATCAAATGTATGCAAGATCTGCACTCTGCTTCTTGCCAAAAAAAATCAAATCAATTTTTAATAGTTTTCCCTTTCTCCCAGTGGAAGGAATTTTATTTTGGAATTCGTATAAAATGAAATTTAAAAAGGTAACTTGATAATTTTATGTTAAATTCCAGTTCATCTGTAAATAACATTAAACAGCAGTGCTACTCAGTGCTACAAAGAATTGCACTACTTGCATTTCTGAAGAAAAAAAGAATCAAACTTTGTAATTATTAGGAAAGTTCAAACAATTGTGCCAAGAGAGCACAAGACTACCTTTGCTATGGCCTAAGCTTTACAGAAAGTGCTTCTCTGCAGGACACAGTTAGAGCAATAAAATTCTGAGATGGTCCTAGGGCATGAGTTATTCTTGACACCCACACACATACTAGTACTTATTACACTGTGCTTTCTGTGAAGAGATTATGCTTCAGTACTTTACATTCTCCATTCTGTCTCCTCCCCCAGAAGAATTTTTTTATGCAAGATAAAAATATTTTTGAATAATTAGTCATGTATTAAGGACCTAGTTTTGAATTATTTATTCATTTTTAACATCTAGTCATATAAAATAAATTGTAAAAGTATGAAGGTATCAGAACGTGGCTTTCAGCAAGGCAGTTGGGAAACAGGAATTCAACATAAAACAGGATTTTCTTTTTTTTTCCCCCCCTTGTAAAGGGTCACATCAGAATGAATGAAAAACACCGAAGAATTTAACTTCAAGCCTGCACTCCTGCCTTTTGTCCTTTCCCCAAGAGGAGAGCCCACTGGAAGAATCCTCCAGGGTTTGTATGAGTTAAGTTGTTCTTTGTGCTCTGGTACTGGGGGTCTGGCTGGAACTATGTACTGCTCTCTTTGGGTGGCAGAGGTGGCTGAGGCTGCTGTGGTGGCTGTGTGCCTGTGGCGGTTTTGATAGAGTTCAGGGTTTTGCTAAACCAAGAGTTTTTGGCAGCTTGGATTTCATTCATAAGGGCTCCTCTCTGGTGCTCCAGCTCCTAAGAAAGCAGAATAGTCAGAATTGATCAAAAAAAAAATAGCAATTAGCAAAAGAGCATCTTCAGATTCAATCACCGCAATCAAGCACTTTCCTTCTAACCTCCCAGGACACTGGAGGAGGGCAAACAAACCTAGCAAACAGCTGAAGGTATTTATGTATTTCTACAAATGAACATTTTCTTTATTTGTTTTTAAGGACAGAGGAAATAAGGATATTGTAAGTTCCCTGGTATACATTGGTAAAGGAATATGCTCCCTTTAGGAACATATTTTTTCTGCATGATTCAGAATTATCAAGTTCCCCTGTACAGTGAGGTTATAGAGACCACCACACTGTAGTCAAATTCCATGTACCTGAATTTTGCACTTGGCTTCCACAAGCTGCAGTTTGGTCTGTGCAAGTTCCAGCTCCATCTCTCTCAGCTGTTTGGTGAGTGCATCCTTTTCATCATCTGTTTCAATTCCTTGATTCTCCCTGTTTGCAGCAGACACCTTCAGTGCTCCCTCCTTACTGAAAATCTCACTGCAGTGTTTGCAGGCCATCACTTTACCCTGAAAGAGCCAGAAAGTTTGTTTTTAATCCAAATTCCATAGGAGTTTTCTGGAAAAAAAAAAGTATTAGCCTGAAAATAATGGAATGGTATAGCGATAATATATACTGAAGTTTTCATTAAAGTATTTGAGAAGTTCATGAACTTATAGGGTTTATTGAATGGTAAAAGAATCCATAAAAACTACCTGGCACATTCTGTTTCTGCACAGAGACTTTGCTTCTAGACTAAAATTGCACAAATATTTTTGTAATCAAGACGTAGTAGTATTTTGTACTACTAACAGCAGTACACTATAGAATAGCAAGTTGTACTCTAGGGACTTTCTGTCTTGCAAAGAAGCACTTGACCAATGCTTAAGTTAATATAGTTTTTGAGATTTTAAAGAAATACAGGTAGCTTTTCCTCATTTCCCATAAGAGAGCATCCTGTTTTGGCTGTGCTCTCTTGCCGTCAGTTGAATTTCAGCATCCTACAGATTAGCCCTTTATGCCAACAGCATCTGATCACAATAGTAGATGTAGCACATCTGAAGATGTAGCACAGCTGGCCTAGCCTTATCTAAATGAAAACAAGCTATTGAACTATTTCAGCAAATTATAGGAACATTACTAATTGTACTCATTTTTGTGATGAAACCTAGAAGATACAGCAGAAGGAAAATAATTGTGAAAGGAAATAAAGCCTTTAATTATTTATATCCTATGAAAAATGAGCGTGGGGCTACTGGGGCAGCTTAACAGATGCTACTGTTGTTTACCATTAAATTCAGTTCATGTTTTTTTCTATATTACTGGCATTTAGGAATACTTGAGTTAGAAACATCTCATGTAAAAACATCATTCTCACCTTCACAACTTCCAGCTCATCTTTACTGGCTGCCTGCTGTTTTTCCAGCCTGGTACTCAGCTGAGAACAAATCTGCCGGACAGAAAGCAATACCACAGATAAAGTTTACTTTACTAAAATATAGCAAGTACTTAGGAACAGTGATGTTTGTTAGAACTATACCATATTCCCTGCCTCATTCATATATATACTACACATAATGAATCCCACTGAGGCTCAAAAAGACAGCATTCAATATTGAACCTTAATATGGAGATGGGAACATTTTAAGGACAAATTGGTTTATATAATTTCAACTGCACTGTGCCACAAAAGAAAGAAGCATATACCCTACAGTATTAAGAATATCTGAAGGAGAGGTTATTCTTGGTTCACTAAGACAGCAGACTACTAGGAAAGCCACATAAAGAATTATAAATAGATTGCAAAAGAATTACGATAGATTAAAATGGTTGCTCTCCAGAAGTCTGGAATGTAATGCATCTTAGAGCATGAGCTCAGGCTGAATTCTCAGGCTGAAAAGGTTTACAAGTAAAAGAGTTTTTGTGGAACATTACCTGTTTATACTCAGCAATAATGGCTGTGGTCTTCTTAATCTCAGATTCTGCTTTCTCTAACTGCTTTCTGAAGACCTCCTTCAACTACAAATTCAAGGAGAGAAGTTACACTGTATGCTGAAAGAAGATTACAATATGGGTGATCAAATTGTTCTGAAAGCTTTGTTGTGTTTGCAGCAGTACTAAAGCTGTTTATTTCAGTTATTTTTATTATAGTTCTTCAGACAAAAATCTTGTTTACTCAACATACAAATTATATATATTATATCCAGTTATAACCTCAAAATCTCTCCAGTCTATACTGGGATACAGTGTATCCCTGCTTCCCACGGTGTTCTCCTGTATAGCAATTTTCCTTTGCATTATATGGTATCTTATGGTCCAAACTATACAAAACACCACCATAACAGAAAAATCTTTGAATTTAGTGTTTTTGTTTTTTTCCCCTCTGCACACTGTACAGCAGGTTTGGAGAGGCCTGGGAGGATGGGCTATCTATTTGTTTGTTCTGAGACTGAACAGGGAGAAAAATCACTCCAGCCCTATCACACTTTCATCTCCCCAACAGAAGAGAAAGACTTCTGGTTTCATCTCTGGCACTGCATTAAAATACAACTAAATCCTTTCCTTACCGTTCAGAACCATGAAGCTTTGAGAGCCCTTTCAATAGAGAAGAGGCCGTAGAGGATAGATCAAACACAGAATATGGCAGCCTCCATTTTAGAGGTGCACAAAATTACTCTTTGTTTGTTGCAGTCACTGTTGTCAAATGGCAAAAATAAAAATCACAGTATAATTTCTGAAACATATTAAATGCTTCAGCCTATAGATAGGCAAACTCAAAAAATAAGATTGAGTATTTGGCAGGTGAGGCAAAATGAGTCCAGCTCTAGTTAGCAGAAATTCAACCCCCAAACTTCAACACTATTCTGCTGTTGGTTCTAGCTTATGTTAAGAATTTTAGCTTTATTTTCATGGACCAGGAGCTGAATTCAGAATGGCCTCTGATACATTGGACATTCAGACGTTAAGTAAAGGAAGACACCAGGAAACGTATCTTTCTTAGAAAGATTTGCACTGGTGATGTGAATTTTTTACTGCCACAGAAGTTTAGAGATAGAATTCTTTCCACAATACCACATTCATGCTTTACTAGATATGCTTTTGCCTGTGTTTAGCTAGATGGAAAAAGTCAGACTATGTTTTACCTGAGCAGTTTCTTCTTCCTGCTTCCGTTTCTCTTCCTCAGTCTCCACTAGTCTCTGTTTGGTCAGGAGAAGTTCCTTGTTCAGAACATCTGCTTTGTCTTCAGCCTAGAATTAAATAAGCCAGTGTGATCTAAGTGTTATCTGTTCCAATAGAAATATATTCATGCACGTGTCACATACATTGCAGATTCAGATTCTAGAAATACCTCTTCTCACCCTCAAATGCCTCACCTGACCTATTATTTAAAGGAAATTCATGTTTCAAGGAGCTATTTTTACCTCCTCTCACCCTCAAATGCCTCACCTGACCTATTATTTAAAGGAAATTCATGTTTCAAGTAGCTATTTTTAAGCTATTTCATTGCAGTTCAACAACTAAACCAAAGGACCCTTTTGCCAAATACTATCCATGCCCAGATTACAGGAAAACAAGGTTCATAGATCATATGTCTTTATACAAACCTAATAGAAACAATGATACATAGATTTTTTGTTGTTGTTGTTGAGAACAATATTATTCCAAATGAGGGCAGCATAATTTAGCTCTTGTCTAGTCTTAGTTAACTCATTCCATTTTTTCACAGTTGCCTTACAAAATGTCAGCGCTAAGACAAGTATAAAAGACAAACCAGATTGTCAAGCAAAAAAGTTTGCTTGACAATGAAAAATAAGTATTTTCAGGAGAAAACAGATACTCTGTGTGTACTGGAGAGTATGAACTTTCTCTCGTCTGTGAAAAGTCAAAAATATGGTGAAAATGTACTGGTAAATGCTGTGGTTTCATCTATCTCTGCTCACTGATCATTACTGATCCTCACTGATCATTAAGAAAGAAATTTTTAGTCAATGTCTGATAGTATTCTGCCAACTACCTCACCCCCTAACCGGGAGATAAACACTGTGTTGCAGCACTCATCTGCTCAATAACTCGGAGTTAAATCAGGCAATGGCTGTGCAATTTGTTGAAAACACAAGAGGGCAAATTGCACTGTAAAACAATGAACAACAGTGTAGCGGCCGTCTCTGAATTACACTTTGTTTCTGCCATTACTGGAGATATTAGCTTATCTACCTGCCATAGCATTAACTATTAATGAGGATGTTACTGCTGATAGCAAAAGCAACTCCACTAAGGCCACAGCCAGAGGGATGGACTGAGGAGACCTGCATTGCTTAGTGTGCAAATGGCCATGTGGAAGAAAGCAATAGAGATGAGTAAATGAAAGGAAGATGGATAACGTTGGCATCTTAGGACAAAAGTAGTACGGGATTTATAATACTTGTATATATCTAAATACGTGTTTTAAAATGTAATATAAATATTGTAATATGTTTTGAAGTAACGATTAAAATATTTATTATTTTAATCTGGTCATTCCAGGTTCTCCTGGCATCTGCAGTGGAATGCAGTAGAATTGTGTGTCACCCATTCTTGCCCATGAGGCCTGGGAAAGGGGTACTTGCTTCACAGCAATGTCCTGATATTCAGGATGCAACTTGGGGAGGAGCAAACAATAAGCTTGTTCTGTATGCAAATATTCCTGTATACAAGAGCATTTCAGCATATTCTTTTTGTCCTTTACATGAAAAGGACCCACTCCACCAGGCATCTCTGACTGCTCTCGCTCACCAAAGATGGCTCAGATTTTTAGAATCACATGGATCCAAAACAGCAGTCTAATTCTCAAGAATTTCACTAAACAAAAATATAAATTGCAACTACTGCAGTCAATGACATGTTAACAACTTCCAAGTTACATACTAAAAGTCTGAAACTCCAGAAAAGTCAAATCGACAGGCTCATGCAAGACCAAATTTTACATTACAAGAGAATATTGCCTTCACTGAGCAGGGTGCTAATCAAAAGGATACTGGGATATCCCACTCATGTATTCAATACATTAATAACAGCTGCCAAGGAATTTATCAATATTACATAAAACACTACGTTACATAAAGCAAAGAGGAGGGTGGAATGTGTAATTCTCTGAAAGCCAGCTCTAGGATAAATGGCTCTGAAAGCTGGTGTCCTCTACGCTGCTGGATTCATAGGAAACAAAAACAGTTATCAAGGGATGCCCAGGGATCCTTTCAATTTTTGATGTCAAGCTATTTCATTATCTCTGAATTTTGTTCGCTGCTCTGCTTGAACTCATCACTGCTGGTGATAGACTCACCTGGTCCAAGTCATTTCGTAATGCGATTTTGCTTGTTACAAGTTCATGTGCAAGGTCATCATTCTCCTGCTCCAGCCTCATGCTGGCTTCTTGGAGCCTGCGGTTCTCCCTCTGCAGGAAGAAAGGAACAACCAGAAACAGAAGTTAATTCTTGTCAATAGAAAAGAAAGGTGAGTATATTGTACACTGAGAAGGCAAGAGTGCACGTTAAGACAGGACTGTTGCCCTGGGAAACAACAGTGAATTAAGCCAGCAGTGCAAATGCAGCAATTCCCTTCACATCCCAATGACTGTGCTTGAGACGCGCAAGCGCCACACTGATCATAGGGCTTTCTCTGTCAAAAGTAAACCCAGTCCTCTCCTCACAACCACTTCTCTTCTGCTTGGTGATCATGGAAAGAAATTAGGCAAATAAAATCCCACACAGCATCAGTGAAAAGGACCTTTTAAAGAGATAACAGTATTTCTGATCAGAAGTCTGTCCAGCTGCATTTTACAAAATTTTGACTGCAGATAACCATAGAAATAGTCCATTTTGTAAACGCTGCAGTGACAACTGTCCATCCTCTGCTGGACCAGTGAAGAACAGCACTTAGATGGGAACTTCTCTTGAGCTCATATATCTCCATTTCTGCACTTTCTCTGTAATTTGCCCAAGTGAAACAGAACTCACTTTAGAGGACACCTGCTGAGCATAACTGTTGGATGGAGGGCGGCTCTCGCTTTCTGAGCAGCGGGCAGCAATACAGAACTGTGCTCTGCAGGCAAAGCCCGACACCACAAAATGCAGAAGTTGGAAAGCAAGAGCCCTGGTTCTCCCTTGTACTGCACTCACTACCGCTTCACACTGGCATAAATGACTACCTGAAGCACCAATTAGTGAAGATGAGTATACCAGAGAAGAATGTAGTAATCTGTGTTTCCTACTAAATCAGTTGGAATAACCGTTCTATTAGGGCTGAGAAGCAGAATCATATTTAAAGAATGTCCCTGGGTCAACTGGACTTCCAGGAGTTGGACATCAAATGTGTGGCTACAAAAGGAAGCAGCCAAGGGGACCAGATAGGAGGACCCTCCTCAAATGGGTTTGAAGAGAACAGAGAGTCTGCTGGCCTTCACTAACACACTGCCCCTGCCTCTCCCATGCAGAGCAGATTGCTGAGGCTATCAGCGTGCTATGGAAACGCCAGGAAAAAAGCAAGGTCATGTGAAACTCACAGATGGAGAAACAATAATCTACATGCTGAGACTTCAAAAAGACCTCATATTCACTTAAAAGATAAGTTATGTTCTCCAAGGAAGAACAGTAAAGGGAAACATGTGTAACAACATTTAGGACAACAAAATATTTTCCAAAGGTCATTCAGGTAATCCCAACGTTCGGAAAGAAATGTTATTATATAAACACATTATTCATTTTCCTTCATCTCTCCTGGTCTCCAGCTATGCTCAAGTATTTTTTCTTTTCATAATACAACACAGTCAAACAGCCCTGTTTTCATTTCTGTTGGAAGAAGATTTTGCATGAGTATCTTGAACAAAAAGGGGCAACTCCCACTCTGAGAAAATCTTAGAAAACCTAAATCCCTAAGCTTCCTCTGTAACCAGAAGCATAACCCCTTTTCAAGAGCTTTCTCCTTAATGTGCCCTTATTGTGCAACTGAGTACAGGAACTGAGTACTCTGTACAGGAAAGCAAGTTTGTTTCCTCTTCAAAAGATTATATTTTACATAACTGTATTGTTACAGAAACCTTAAGTCAAAATACTTAAGTATACCTTAAGTATACCTTAGTATAAACCTTAAGTATAAAACTAAATTGCAGTTTTTAATTTTTAGAAAAGCTCTGAAGTATCTATTCCTCTTTTTTTCATATAATCTAATAAACTGATTCTACAGACACAGTTCTGCCAGTAAGCTGTTTCAGAAAGGGACAAGTTCACAAAGAAACTCAGACTAGTTTGGAGATGACAATAAGCACATGATACTGACAGCTGCTGTAGCACCACTACCTCTTTATAGGAACATTGTTTAGAGAAAGAAATCAGCAAAGTTTTAGACTTCCACAGAATACCCCCGAAAGACATTTGCTTTAACATTTTTGCTATGCTTTTGCCAAAAGCTTCAGTGTCTGCAAAGCGAGCTGCACAACGTGAAGTTTGAAGTTCCTGCTTTGCATTCACAGACAAGTGGATAAGCAAGCTTCGTGGCTGGAAATGAGCTATCCTCCTCTTAAACTGGAATGCACACGGCACAGTTTTAGTAAGTTAAATATCTCTTACCTCAAGCATCCAGTCAGTAGCTATCAGTGATTTTAATCTTGTTCTCCGTATTTTTAATTTCTAGCTTAAAAATCTCTTATTGGGACACCTTTACTCTTCCTCCAAAGAAGGCAGTAGGAGTAATTAGACATGGTTTGTCTTTTCCAGCTCCTCCCCCCAGTTCTAGCAGTGAAAAACTGCCTCCTTCCTTGGGAGGAAATTCTTTATCTGCTTCAATCCAAATAAAACCTAGCATTGCAAGACAAAGACAAAAACACCAGGCAATACTACTTGTACGGAGCAAATGATTTTTGAGGGCTCTAAAATATTTACAGGGTTTTTAAAGAATATCATTGACAATGGGAAAAAATAAAATTCAGTAGATGGAGATTGTTAGTTACAGGCAGACTCACATCAGAGAGTATTTTGTAACATGGCATGAGCCAACTAGCCAGACCTGCTGGTTGTCCCTGGTGTAAACAAACAGCTTCCTGCCCTTTCTCTCTATAACACTAACAATTTACTGGCTCCAGCATTTCCTTCTCTTTGGTATCATTCAGCTTCTACAGCCAATAAATAAGATATTCCTCTTTCCCAGAGAGTCTCCTCCCTTTTGCTACCAAGGGCAGCCGGTGAATTCAAGCTTGCTTTTAAAAGGAGGATACTGCATTTCTGAGAGGGACAAACACCGTTGACACATACAAACACAAACAAACTTACCTCCTGTAAAGTCACAGAGCAAATACTGCTTTCAACCATTGGTGTAAAGACAGTGAAAACAGGATATAAAATAAAAATTTAATACCAACAAAAACAGCCAAAAAATAAGAAAATGTCACTGATTCTTTGAGGAGAGGCTTTGGTTTGGATTTTTAAAGATGATGTGCTCCAGCTTCCATCACACACTTGACTGAAAGAATGCAAATTTGAAACCAGTAGGCAAGCCTCAACTCAGGAAGCACGAAAGGGCTAAACTCCACCCTCTACTATCTCCCCGCTCCGAAGGAGGGATACGGGACGGGATGAGTGGTGACGGATGATCCTCCTTCCGTGGTACTGCTACACGGGGCGGAACCATGTCACCAGCCCTCTTAAGCAATGCAGTTGTCACATTTTCGGAGGACCAAAAGCTCGTGCCCCACCCAGGGATTTGCAGAGGAACAAGTCCCCAGTGGTGAAACAGAAAGACTGGTTAAAATTCACATTCCTGGATGCAAGCAACTCGTTGGCTTCGTAAGCCAACTGGAAAGAGCTCTGCAACTTGAATTGCAAAGCCAATTCTGAAGGCAAAAAAACAGAAAGCAGCCATCTAAAAAGTAAATTGTCCAGGAAACGCCTCAAGGAAGCAATGCAGAGGCTTCTGGAGGAGGGTTGGTGTTTTGTTTGTTGACTCTAGCTCAAAAGAAACTTTAAGAAGTATGCTAGGACAATTTTAGGAAACAAAACAAACAAAATCCACACCAACTTAGCTAACATTTCTTCTTGTTAGGCTTATATATTAGGGTATAACGTAACCTTGTTAAGTTTTTAGTATCACGACTCAAAAGTAAAAAACACAGTTATATTAATTTTTGTTGCACTTCAAACACACAAAGGATATTATGTCCAAATAACACATTTATTCAGCTTGACAACTTCTCCTTTGCACAACAAGGTCCATAGAGGTAATGGTGCTTCTACAGTCAGAACAGAACTCAGTGCACAGACAGGGGCTGTTTGCAGGTCTTTGCCCTGTCTTTATATTGTTATATCCTTTTAATTTTAAACAAAGAGCTCTCAAACCCAGACTCCCACAATTTTTTCATCAATCCCAGCCTTGTACATTTGAGGTGTTCTGAGACACTGAAGAAGGCTCATCCACAGTATAATTCATCTGAACTATTCTGCTGTTTTTGTTGCACATATAGATCTTTTTCTAGGCAATCTGCGATTTAATGTAAGTAAAAGTCATTAAATGTGGTGCCAAAAGTAATTTAGAACATGTTTACTTTTGCATCTTTTAAAAAGCTGACAAAAATGTTGGATGATATTTTGTTATAAACAATAGATAATAAAAACACTCCACTGTAGAAGGTATCAATAAACAATCCAGTCCTCCCAAATCTTTGTAAATACAGAAGGAAATAACCCAGAAATGATTTTATGGCACTCTTTAATACTGTTGTCTTTGGCAAATGAAATCTATCACAATCCACATGTTAAGATCCAGGCTAGGCAGGAGCTTGTCTGTCACATGCAGCTCCAGTACTGCGTGAACCCAACCTGTCGAGGGGCGCTGCTGGTAAACAGCAGGCCGGGCTCTGCAAAAAGGGCCCTTTCCTGGGACACAGGGGCCCTGGGGCCGGCGAGCTTGGGCACAGCAGCTGCATGGGCATGACGACCCCTCCCTCCACGCAGCCCTTTAGGGCAGCAGCTCCCTCTGCCCAAGGGCAGCGCGCGGCGCCCTGCCGCTCTGGCACCCGTCTCTGGCTCACTCTGCGCTTCTGGTGACTGCCAGGCTGCAGCTGCCACGCGACTCCGTGAGCTCCGCTGCAGAGCGACGGCTGCGCAACTGCAGCCACGAGCGCCGGGGAGAAGGGTCGCTCAGCAAGGCCCGGCCGGCAGCTCCACCAACCACCTGCTCTTTTCCACTCAACAGCCCACCGAGCAATTCCCGCAGGAGGCCAATCCGCTGGAAAGTGGATGCAAGGCAGCCTAGGAGCTCCTCATTGCCACACTTGGGTGAGGGCTGGTGCGACCGCTGCTGAAGCGCAGCTCTACAGCCGCCACTAGTCTGCACTGGCAACAAAACCTGAAACACTGCAAACCAACAGTGAAAACTATAACTACTACAGCTAAAAACTAGTAACAAACTGAAAACACTTTTCTTCCTTGGCCTGTAAGAGGACTTTCTTGCATGGAGCTCCACTCCAGAGACCCCATCCAAGAAGCATTCTGCTGTTTTCCAAGGCAAGTCCCGCTGCACAGGGCCTGCAACTGATGCCATCACCACAAAATGCCCTCTGAAAGCCTGTGCATCAGTGCTAGCGCTGACGGCACCACCAGAGCCAGCTCTTGCATTCTGCCTGCACGCTCTCACGCCACTTGCTGTCCCATAGAAGCACAGTCTTTAAATGACAACTCCCTCCTGTAGTCTGATGCTACAGTAGAATTGAACATGCAAGATGAGGGTCAGAGGGCACGAGGGAGCATTTTTCCATGACACCAACCAGCTGCAGAATGCATCCAAGCTTGGAACTCCATGTGCATCAGCCAGGTATGGGACTCACTCTAATCACAGCATCAATAAGAGGGCTCAGACTCAGTCCAGCTTAATAAAATCACACAGCAAGTTGCAAAAGTGCAAGCTAAAACCCTGCACTGGGATCTTGACTGTGACAGGGAGTCACGCTGGCAGCGGCCACAGTCACTTCAATCTCCTCCCTTGCAGTCTAGGGATAACATTCCTCATTGCTCACTGTCCAGGATTAGACATTCAATATGCTTCCACATAAAAGATGCCTTCTGAATTTTGTAAGTATTATTTAAATTCTGTGGTAGCATAATCAAACCACTGAAAGAATACTTTGAAGTTAATGAGCAGCAAATTCTGGGTTTGACGTTTTTCCCTGAATAGGTATATTGGTATATCCTGAATAGGAATATTCTGAATTCAGGAATATCCTGAATAGGTATATCCTGACAACAAATGCAGTCCCAGTTCTATTTTTCCCTGAATAGGTATATTGACAAACAGCTTCCTGACAACAAATGCAGTCCCAGTTCTCACAATAAAAAAATCTACACTATTTGACATAAAAAGAACTACAGTCAAACTACCTCTTTTTCTCAGGTAAATACTAAAAAAAGTCAGTTTTACTTTGTCCATAACATGACCTCTACCTCAGCATGTTTATGAATTATAACATAGTCTTTCACTGCATATTTTCATGCTGTGGTCTTCTGAATATGGTGCACTTTCCGTGAGTTTACATGTTGTGTAAATCTGTTGCATTCAGTGTCTTAGCTATCTTAGCTACTGCTCCATAATCCAGGTAGACACCGTACCAATGGCAATGGGTTTAACATACATAAGGCACAATGAAATTCAGCAGGTAACAACGTCAGTTCCCAGCTACACTGGGCAGTAAAGTGCTTCAACTCTGGCAGCTTGACCTATTTTCTTAAAAAAGAGTAAATAGGAAATGAATCCTCAATACTAAGTACATGCCTACAGACAGCGCTTCTATCACAGAAACATCTACAGCAACAAAAGGCAGCAGTGACAATAAAGCAAATACATAAGAAAAATAAGCAGTGCTGAGTCATAGAGAACTCTTCCTTTTTGGTGAGCTATCAAGCTATCATATGAATAACTGAAACTTTATTTTTCTGCTCCTCTAAGGTAGGATAACTATTACTATTATTTCTATTGCAGGAGTATCTTAGGATCCCAGAAGAGCTCTGGGTCCCAGTGCACTAGGCATTCTATCAACAAAAAATTACTATGTTTGCTATAAACAGAGATGAATAAAAAGGATCTTATGTCAGTCAAGGAAGAGTTCATCTTCCAAAAGTCTCTGTGGACGTTACTGCACACAGCTTTGCTAGCACAATGTGTATTTTCTCCTTTTTGTATCAGTAGCTGAGAATCACCCTTTGTCTCTGCGTCTCATGAAGATCGCCCACAGAAGTGCAACGGCAGGAGAGTTACCTACAAACATATAAACTGAAAGAAGAAAAATATTATATGTGGCTATCTGAAGATGTCTTGAGAGTTACAAATTGTGACTGAAATATTCCTGGACAAACACTAAGTCCAAATGTTCAAAGTGAGCATTCTAGAACTGGGCTCTTTCATCTGCCACCTTCATTCCCTGTGAGCTCTCAGCACATCCCGGGCAGCGAGCGTGGTCCCCGCCACCTCCATCACACTGCCGGGGCGTGGAGGCTGCCCGCATAACTCCGCCAAGGAAGAGGTGCCCAAACACCAGCTCCCATACCTTGTATCTGTCCATTGGATCCTCCTGCTGCAGCTGGCTCTCTCGCATTGTTTGGTATTCTCGCTCATATTTCTTCAGCTTTTTGGTTGGCACCTGTGAGACACATTCAGAAAACATGCATTGAAGGATTAGAAAAACACCGGAAAAAATGTCTGAAAGCTCCACTTGCAAGCAGGAAGCAAAGGAAATGCTGCATCACCCCTGCTGCACCCAGCAGCTCCCCAGGGCCCCCTCCCCTGCTGGTGCTGGTGCCGTGTCAAACACTCGCCAACGCGGGTCACAGCGACAGAAGTCTTCCTGCCCCTAGAGCTGCTAATTTCGCAAATGCTTAAAGGAAAACAGTGCTGAGGTAGAGGCATTTGAATAGGAGAAATAAGAAAAAAGATATAAGCTAAAGGAATGAGAAAGCAGCGAGAAGAAAAACATTCTCTGATGCACGTAGTTCACTGAAGCAAAGTTGCTTAGCAGGGATGGCAAAAAAGGCTATTCAGGGTGAGATTAGAGAAAGGGAGCGGTTTCACAAAAGCACTGGGCAGTTCACTGTGGGAGAATTAGAGTAACAGCTTTTACTGCTGAAAGAGCATGAAACTAAAGTGCGCGCAGTGGGAAGCCTGTGGCCGCCGCCTGCACGCAGGCCGGCTGCGTGGGGCTGGTCCTCGGGACAGGGCAGCGCTGCAGCGGGGAAGCGGTGGCTGGACCACGCATCCCGCACACAGTCACAAGCCAGTCAGGGAACAACCGGGCACACAGGCCAAGCCACACACGGACTAACTGCTATGAAAACAAAGCTTGGAACCAAAGCTATATGCTGAACACTTGTGGGGTTTCAGCAAAGCATGGGGAGTCTCTGCCTTACTTCTGCCTTTTAGCCGGCCAGACTGTGCACTAGGAGTAATCCCATCTCTTCTTGTATGTTTTTTTCCAGATCTGCTCTTCTAACCCCTACTGCTCCCACCCAACCAACTCCTGACATTACTCCCCAGTTCAGGAAAAGCCCTAACCTGGGCTTCATGCTGGCAGAGGCTGAGGCTGGCAGGAGGCAGCAGCACCAGAGCTGCAGGCAGCACTGCTCCACATCACCAGCACCTTGCCTGGAGGCCCGGAGCTACCCCAGGCAGCAGGTTTGTGTTTACGTGCAGCTTTGATACGGGGCTGCCACTATTGTATTTTCCATCTGATACCTCCTTCCTCAGTGATACAGGGAGGGACCAAGCACGTTTTTGCTGTGGAGAAGATGTGTGTTACAGGTGGGAAATGCAAAACCTGTGATTCACAAAGTGCCCAGGGAGCTCCTGCGTTGTGCAGGGAGCTGCGACCGAGAAGCAGAGGGCCCAAAAGCAGCTCAAGTGCCCACAGTTACAGAGGAAATTTTAAACTAAACCCTCTAAAACCAAAGTGATGAGAGTTAAAAAAAAAAAAAAAAAAAAAAAAAAAAAGGATCATTTTGGACAAACGCATGACAGATTTCACTTTGACAACTTTGAATAACACAAAACACAATGAAATTTAAATGACTTGCTTTCTTATGCTAGAATGGGAGCTCAGGATGCAAAGCCAGACCATTTTGTTAAGCTGCAGCTTAACACTGTTGAGGTTCTTCAACATCAAGCATCACAGCACAGAGATGATGGCCCCAGTAAAGAGCTGCTCTTGCCAAGACGGTGAGTTTGGGTAGGGAGCCCCAGCGGGCAGCAGAGCCTGCACGCAGCACTGCCTCTCACCTGCAGCACAGCCTGCCCTGCCCCACTGCCCCACGTGGCTCCCCAGCTCATTTTCCCAATGTTATTTTTTTAAGCTGCCCAAAAGCAACCTTGTTTCTCTGGCATCATGTATTATTCTGCATCCAGAAGAGGCAGAAATTAACTCACGCAGTTTTTCTTTGGCACTTAATCACCTGCCTCAAAACACACAAAATGACTCTGAACCCACTGAGCTGCTCCTCTCTCTTCACAGTCCCCCCCTTTCCACACACTGATGGCTCTGGATAATTTGTCAACACTTGACACCTCTTCCCACTCCGCTTTTATTGATGAGCCCTTTTGCTGTCTTAAATTCTAATTTATGCCTGCAAGTAGGATGATCCCTGGGCCCTCGCTTAGAAAGGCCTCAGGGACCGTTGTAAGATATCCCGACTTAAGCATGGTTAATATCTGCTTATGCAACAACCTTAATAGGACAACAGTACTTAAATACAGTGAAATTCTATCCTAAGGACTGTATGTGGAGGGAAATTCCTATTAGGAAAATGTTTCATACTAATCCCCTAATGCCATAACAAACCTTTAGGCAGATCTACTCAGGAACCCAGGAAGGTGCTGAGCTTCACTGCCATGGTCTCTTCTGCCACCGCATTCAAAGGAGAGGGAGTATTTATTACAACACTTTCTTCTGGGTTATCACTGGTAAACTAAGTAAATAAATTCAAATACCTGTTTCCATATTCCCTATTTAATTCATTTAAACAGCCTGAAAATTCAACAGGTGACCTCTCTCTCTCTCAGTCTTCATAGGTAAGTGCATATTCTTACCTATGCTTTAGTGTCCCTGCACTGCCCCTAACAAAGCATACTCAGAAATTTGCTGCAAAAGCTTCGGCGCTATTGATTTCATCCCTCTTTAGCAGTAGGGGGTTGCTGGCTGGGAGTGCTGGTTATCACATTTCAGAGACTCGTAGGGTTTATAAACATCACCGCTCTGTTTAGCTCACTACTGTGTCTTCCCGACTCCTTTCATATTGTCATGTTCAAGCAAAAAAGTGTGTTGCAGCTACTCAGGCACCCAGGGACGGGAACCCCAGATCATCAGCGAGACCAGTACTGGAATATGCACCCAGTTTGGGGATAGACAGTTCTGAATCTAGTTAGAAGAAAACATGCGGAGCAGACACCCCCAGAGAACAGTTGTGTCCTATGTAAACATCTCCCATTAAGAGGTACATGAGCCCAAAACAAAACTGCAAAAGCCAGGACTGGAAGCTGAAACCGGAATGAATCTAAATGAGAAGTTAGAGACGTATTTTGAATAGCAAAAGATTAATAGATTACCATGGAAAATAATACAGTGCCCACCACCTCCTGTTACATTCTGGTAAAGTGCCCAGCTGCGATGTGAAGAGGTACTTCACTCAAAACAGGTTTGAATTTTCAAAAAATGCTGCTAGGATGAAGTTGAATCAAATGGATGATGTCTAGAGGATGTAGAGAGAAAATCTAGCCTCAAACGCTGGAAATTGAAGGTGGGCAGGACTAACCATCCCACTTATCTCCCTGCAGGTGAACCTGGTCACAGAGCATGGACTAGACAGCAACACTGTCGGCTATGTTGGATATTGCCCCATGGAGCATTCAGCAAAAATCGGGAAACATCAGGCTCATGTGTCAGGAGCCAGTGACATGGACCAGGGCAGGGGGAAGCCAAGCAGCAGCTCCCACCTTCGAATGCAATAGGGAAGGGGCCCACCCGGTGCCAACTGCCCCAACTTTCTTCCACCCATGCATGGTTTCACATTTGACAGTGTCTGCTATGTATTAAATATGCACAACAGCAAAATTCTGCTCTGTGCTGAATTTACAGGAGAGCAGAAAGCAAGGGGATGCCAGAGGAAAATAAATAGCCCAAGGATTGCTGCGCAGCTTATTCGTTTCCATAGTTAATGAGAAATGAGTGATGTGGGTGAAAGAGGCAGGAAGGAACAAAGGTCGAGTTCGAGGCAGCTGCTCATCACAGCAGTGCGGAACCAGCTTCTCCAGGCTCACCTGCTTCCCGCCCGCAGCTGATGCCGTGCATGTTGCAGGGCCTTCTGGGAGCTCCAGCAGCTCCTAATTAAGCTCTTCTAGCAATAGCAGGGATTTAAACCTGCTTTCAGACAGCAGAAGACTGCAATTAGATCCCTCATTAGACTCCTCTTCCTCAGGCTAAGCCAGCCCAGCTTTCACAGCTTTCCTTCATAGATTCAGCCCTGCGCTGGCCTCTCTCTTGTCCGTGAAAGCTCCTCCTGGACCTGGGTGCATCCTCTCCCAGTGTCCAGAGCCCTGCTGAAAATGTTAAACTGTATTAGCCCCTCTACCAACTCAGAAGAGCAACTTTTAGGCAGCTGCCAGGTAGACCTCAAACCACTGTCCTCTACTCTGCCAGTCCACCAGTTTTCCACCCACTTTGCACCTCATCAGTTTGGCTATAGCGTTCTCTGGGAAACTGGTCTGAAAACCTCACTAAAACCCACGGCTCCTGCCTGGCACAAAGAGATGGTCACTTCTCCACAGACAGACATCAGGGCCATGAGGCCTGATTGGCCAACCTGGCCCTTCCCAATCACCTTGCCCATCAGAGGTCTGAAAAACAGCTTCCATGAGGACATCCATGAGCAAAAGAGCTTCCATGAGGATGTCTTCCATGGCATCCCCATGTACGAAGGCATGGCTAACTGGCCTGTAGGTTCTCCAGAGCCTCCTCCTGTTCTGCAAATGGACCCGACATTTGCATTTTTCCCTATCATCAGTGATCTCTGCTGTCTGCTTGACCTTTCCAGAGGTAACGGACCCACCTGGGCCCGAGCCATCTCCTGCTCTACCCTTGGACACATTTGCTGAGTCCCAGGCACTCCCAGGTACCCATCACTAGCCTGATGGGCTACACTCTTGTGTAGCGCTGCGTTATTTATGTGGATCAAAGGAATGCTGCAAAAACATTGCTAAATATTCTACCAAAAATTTTACCTTTTCCACTGAGAAACACAACTGGAATTGACAGGAACTTGGAAACAGCAAAAGTCTCAGCACTGATTTAGTTCACCCCCTCTGGAGCCGCTACCGCTGCGCCTCTGCATTGAGACGCCTCCTGCATCTTACCATCTTTCTGCGGATCCTCCCTCAGGCAGCAGCAGGGCAGAGGGCCATGGCCTGCGCCTGTCTTGCTCTCTGTGTTAACTCTCTGCAACTTGGCATCGAAACACATGGCTCCTTGTCTGTGCACAAGACCACCGTGTGTCCCAGCGCGTTAGAGTGCCTGCAGTTCCTCATCAGTTGCAAGACTTGCTGAGCTGCTCCAAAGCCAGCCTGGCGTCCCAACGCAGGGGCCTGGTGCAAGTTATCGCT